GTTTATTTAATTTATGTTTGTGATTAGTATTTTATACACTCGTTACTTTTGAATATGTTATAATTTAAAAATATATCAATTCAAATCAAATTTAAAGATAAAGTTTTGTTTCTAATTTAAGTATTTTAAATAAATGGACGTGTTAAATTGTATTGTAAAATGAATTTAAAATTATTAATCATACATTTATGTTTATGTACATTGTAATACAGAGGCGCATACAAGGGGTGTGTGGGGGGTCAGATCCCCCATGTCCTTTTTTATGATATTTAAARAATGTTTACTACTAAACTCTTCCTATTACATAGGTTAGGTACACTGGCACACTGGTTAGAAATAATTAAATGCTTATGTAGGTTATTAAATTTTTTTTTAGGAACGGGCGGCAGTATTGTGATGAACAGTTACCCGTTCCTGGTTTTTAATCAGGAAAAAAAGGTTATTTTAATTTAAGTAATTTAATTCAATGATAATAATTTAATAAATATACAATAAATTAATGATGGTTGTGATTATTTAACATATTTTAAAAGTTTATCTGTAACAATCGTTATTTGTTATATTATGTAGTTATTTGTCTCATTATGACCACCCATAGATTAGTTAGATAAAATGTGTGATAAAATATTTGTAACGACATAATTACTAATTAAGCTTAAAAATTAATATTTATTAAAAAGTGGTTGTGAGGTGACTGACTTTATTTTTATCCTATTTTAGGGGTCGTGACACTAAAAAGGTCAAGAAACGATGATGGTGTAGATATAGTGTACCATGTAGGTATACCAATAATAATAATATGTCAAATGCGTGTTATAAATAATGCAAACTTTTATAGTGTATACGTATTGTGTGTTGACAAGTTGCGATACCAAGTTGTGAAGTTTAAAAGCAAATGGTAATGACTTTTTGAAGGTATAATATATATATATATTTAAGTATGCTGTTTTCGGCAATGTCCGACTACGGTTTAAATGGGCTACGAGGGTTGAAAAAATCAATATAGATGTTTCTAAATAACTGTATAATGTGCACCTACTATATTATATATTTTACAWGTTTAACGACCCCAGGAGTAGGTCTTTTAATATGATGTTTAAATGAGCACTTATTTTATTCTCATACAATAGTATACTGTACACGGCATAAACTTAAATAGTTTTAAAACGGCTAGTGAACGAACGATTTTCGTAAACACGTTGACTGTTGTCAATTGCAAGCCGTTGACATCTTAATATTTTCAACAATCGGCTTGACAACAGTGTATACGGATGATTCGACAGCGGTTCAGTGGTWTAACGGTTTACTGCCAGTACGATAATWCATGGCCATAATACGTTTAGGTACACCATATTTTTAGAAAAATAATACGTTTGAGTACATAATACATATAGATTTTTTGATGAAAATTTCATCTATATTCTGTGGTTCCATATCTTCTAGAGTAAAATAATCCTATTTCCGATTAGAAATCCAAATCGAAACTGAAGCTGAACGCTGTAATTTGAAACACTTATAAAGATAAATAATCGATTCTGTCTTATTGCGATTAGCGATTAGTGTGAATGTATCCAAACGGGCCAAACGTGGTATGTATTTATGTATCCAAATGTGTTCTACATTTACAGGTAAAAACAATGCTATGTACCCAAACGTGCTGCTCCCTAACAGTGCCGGATTTACCTCTTCAGCCGCCCTAGGCTATTAGGAAAATGCCGCCTCAAAATCATACAATCATTTTTTTAAAACCAATATGAGATTGATATAAGTGTTATTTTAGTGCACAATTAAAAACTTATAAAATCAAGTACTCAAGAAACAGGAGATTTAATTTTAAAATACAAATACAAAAGTCAAGATAT